AGCCTGGCCACCACGCAGATAAAAAAAAATTTTTGTATTTTATCTCTACAAAAAATACAAAAATTAGCTGGGCGTGGTGGCACATGCCTGCAGTCCCAGCTACTCGGGAGGCTGAGACATGAGAATTGCTTGCACCTAGGAGACGGAGGTTGCTGTGAGCCAATATCGTGCCACTGCACTCTAGCCTGGGCAATAGACTGAGACTCGGTCTCAAAAACAAAACAAAATGAAAATACCACATGCTCTCTCACGTGGAATCTAAAATAAGCTGAATACACAGAAACAGAGTAGGCCTGGTGGTTACCGGGGCAGGAAGAAAAGAGAAATGGGGAGATGTGGGTCCAAGAATATAAAGTTACATATATATAAGAAGAATAAGTCTAAAGATCTAAGGTACACCGTAACGACTATAATTAATAATATTGTATTATAAACTGGAAATTTGCTAAGAGAATACATTTTTTCTTTTTTTTTTTTTTTGAGACAGAGTTTTGCTCTTGTTGCCCAGGCTGGAGTGCAGTGGCGCAATCTCGGCTCACTGTAACCTCCGCCTCCTGAGGCAGATTCTCCTGCCTCAGCCTCCCAAGTAGCTGGGACTACAGGCATGCACCACCACGCCTGGCTAATTTTTGTCTTTTTAGTAGCGACAGGGTTTCACCATGTTGGCCAAGCTGGTCTCGAACTCCTGACCTCGTGATCCACCTGCCTTGGACTCCCAAAGTGCTGGGATTACAGGCATGAGACAGCGCCAGGCCAAGAGTACATTTTAGGTGCTCTTTTTTTTTTTTTTCTTTTTTGAGAGAGAGAGTCCTGCTTTGCTGCCCAGGCTGGAGTTCAGTGGTATGATCTTGGCTCACTGCAACCTCTGCCTCCCAGCTTCAAGCAATCCTCCCACCTCAGCCTCCCAAGTAGCTGGGACTACAGGCACACACCACCACGCCCTGCTAATTTTTGTATTTTTTATAAAATACAAAAAAGGCTTTTCGCCCTGTTGCCCAGGCTGGTCGCAAACTCCTGGGCTTAACTGATCCGCCTACGTCAGCCTCCCAAATTGCTGGAATTACAGGCATGAGCAACCATGCCCAGCCTTACGTGCTCTTACCACAAAATAAGGTAACTATTTGAGGTGATGGATATGTTAATTTGCTTGACTATAGTATTCATTTCATTCTGTGTTTATGAAAGTGTATATGAGTATGAAACATCATATTGTACACATTAAAGACAATAAAAAAATAACTATGCCAGGAGCCGTGATTCACACCTATAATCCTAGCACTTTGGGAGGCTAAGGTGGGAGGATCACTGGAGCCCAGGAGTTCAAGACCAGCCTGGACAACATAGTGGGACACCATCTCTACAGGGAAAAAAAAAAGAGGCCAGGCACAGTGGATCACACCTGTAATCCCAGCACTTTGGAAGACCAAGACAGGCAGACTGCTTGAGCTTAGGAGTTTGAGACCAGCCTGGCCAACATGGCAAAACCCTGTCTCTACCGAAAATATAAAAACATCAGCTGAGCATGGTGGCACACACCTGTAGTCCCAGCTACTTGGGAGGCTAAGGTGGGAGGATCACTTGAGCCCAGGAGCCAGAGACTGCAGTGAGCCGACACTGCGCCACTGCACTCCAGCCTGGACAAGAGTGAGACCCCGTCTCAAAAAGAAAAAAAAAAAGAATTAGATGTTCCATGAGGAACAAAATTATCCATGGTTGAGAACTACTGAGGTAGAACTACCCTATGGGAGATGGATATTTTCGAGACATTAAACACACAGAGAATGGTTGAATCTATAAGAGACAAGATTCCTCAGGGAGGAAAGAAAATTAGCTGGGCATGGTTGTGTGTGCCTGTAATCCCAGCTACCTGGGAGCTGAGGCAGGAGCTCTGGAGTTCAAGACCTGCCTGGACAACATGGCTGGACCCTATCTCAATCAATCAATCAATCAAGATGTTTTAGAGGGTGGAAGAAGAAAAGGTACTTGAGAGTGACCTACAGAGAAAAGAGAAGCAAAGGTCTTCCGGTGGCTGAGGACAAAATGCATGGCAGTGCCAAGGCTACAGAGCACTGAGGGGATACAGATGTACACAGAGGCCAGACAGTCAGTGTACACCTGTAATCCCAGCACTTTGGGAGGCCGAGGCAGAAGAATCACTTCAGCCCGAGTCTCGCTCTGTCGCCCAGGCTGGAGTGCAGTGGCCGGATCTCAGCTCACTGCAAGCTCCACCTCCCGGGTTTACGTCATTCTCCTGCCTCAGCCTCCCGAGTAGCTGGGACTACAGGCGCCCGCCACCTCGCCCAGCTAGTTTTTTGTATTTTTTAGTAGAGACGGGGTTTCACCGTGTCAGCCAGGATGGTCTCGATCTCCTGACCTCGTGATCCGCCCGTCTCGGCCTCCCAAAGTGCCGGGATTACAGGCTTGAGCCACCGCGCCCGGCCGATCCTGTCTTTCTTTAAAAGAAAGAAAAAGGTATTAACTGGCTCTCAAGTTAATATAAAATGGATAATTTTATCAGTCCCTTCAGATATAACCATTCATTAAGAATAGTTCAAAGTTCAACAATAAGGAAAATGCCAAGACGATGGGAGAGAGGAATAAAAAAAGAAAAAGGAAAAGGCCTTCAGAGAGAAAACTAAATACCTAAAGTGTACAACACGGAAAAGTATTTAGAGTGGTCCACTAAAGCATTTTTTTTTCTATTTTTTTAAATTGAGTAAAATACACATAGGTTGGGTACAGTGGCTTATGCCTGTCATCCTAGCACTTTGGGAGGCCGAGGTGGGAGGATGGCTTGAACCCAGGAGTTCAAAACCAGCCTCAGCAATATAGCAAGACCCCATCTCTATTTTAAAAAAAAAAAAAAAAAGGTAACTAGAGGGCATGAATGAAGATGGCCAAGTCAGCAGAGTAGAGAAAATACAAGCACAGAGTTGTTTGCAGTGGATCAGAGCCAAGGGCAAAAATCAGAGCACTGAGTATTTTTGAGGCCTACAGAAAAGAACCAGAAGAGGAAGAATCTGAAAAATAAACAAAAGAGCGAGAGAGGAGATGCAGAAGAGACACAGAGAAGGGGACTGTTAGTTTGGGTATCTGCCTCCTCCACATCGCATGCCAAAATGTGATCCCCAGTGACAAAGGTGGGCCTGGTGGGAGGTGTTTGGGTCATGGGAGCAGATCCTTCATGAATGGCTTGATGCTCTCCCCACAGTAATGAACGAGTTCTTGCCCTGTTAGTTCACACAGGAGCTAGTTGTTTCAGTGACTCTAGTTTATCTCTTGCTGTGGGACACACCAGCTCCCCTTCCCTTCCACTATGACTTCCTGAGGCCTCACCAGAAGCCAAGCAGATGCTGGCACCAGGCTTCCTGTACAGTCTATGGAACTGTGAGACAAATAAACCTCTTTTTTTTTTTAAATACATTACCCAGTCTCATATATTCCTTTGTAGCAATGGACTACTACAAGAACAGAGAAAAGAGATGGGTATTATGGGGGCCCAGAATAGCAACAGGGACCTTCCTGTTCAAATGCAGGAAGGAGAAAGGAACAGTAAAAGCCTGGAGACCATGAGAAGAGGAGAAGCTGAGGGAATACGCATCCTGTGGCTTTCTCTTGTCAGAACAGAGATGAAGACTTAGGAACCCGGCCAGGCGCACTGGTTCACACCTGCAATCCCAGCACTTTGCGAGGCTGAGGTGGGAGGATGGCTTGAGACCAGGAGTTTGAGACCAGCCTGGGCAACATGGAAAAACCCCATCTCTACAAAAAATACAAAAACAGCCAGGCATGGTGGTGCAGGCCTGCAGTCCCAGCTACTGGGGAGGCTGAGGTGGGAGGATGGCTTGAGCCTGGGAGGTCGAGGTTGCAGTGAGCCATGATCATGTCACTGCACTCCAGTCTGGGCAACAGAGCAAGACCCTGTCTCAAAAAAAAATTAGAGCCAGGCACGGTGCCGCATGTCTGTAAACCCAGTACTTTGGGGGGTGGAGGCAGGAGGATTATTCGAGGCCAGGAGTTAGAGACCAGCCTGAGCAACATAGTGAGACCTTGTCTCTACTAAAAATGAAAAAAGTGCCTGTAATCCCAGCACTTTGGGAGGCCGAGGCAGGTGGATCACAAGGTCAGGAGATTGAGACCATCCTGGCTAACACGGTGAAACCCTGTCTCTACTAAAAATACGAAAATTAGCCAGGCATGGTGGCGGGCGCCTGTAGTCCCAGCTACTCGGGAAGCCGAGGCAGGAGAATGGCATGAACCCGGGAGGCGGAGCTTGCAGTGAGCAGAGATTGTGCCACTGCACTCCAGCCCCGGCAACAGAGCGAGACTCCATCTCAAAAAAAATAAAAAATAAAAATAAAGTAAGACAGGACTACATTGCTATAGAGAAAAACCTACATGGAATGATGAGAAAAGAAAAACAGAAACCAACATGGAAATAAATCCATCACGCCGTATATTGGAAGTTTTTCATAAGCAGTTCCTCTCTGTAGTTTTTAAAACCACAGAAAATAGATTACGAGCTCATGCCTGTAATCCCAACACTTTGAGAGGCCTAGGCAGGTAGATCAGTTGATATCAGGAGTTCAAGACCAGCCTGGCCAACAGGGTAAAACCCCCTCTCTACTAAAAATACAAATATTAGCCAGGAGTGGTGGCGGGCGCCTGTAATCCCAGCTACTTGGGAGGCTGAGGCATGAGAATCACTTGAAGCTAGGAGGTGGAGGTTGCAGTGAGCCAAGGTTGAATCACTGCACTCCAGCCTGGGCAACAGAGTGAAACTCTGACTCAAAAGAAGAAAAAAAAAAAAACCCAAAATACAGAAAATAGATAAATATATATATATGTCATTGGTTGAACAGCAAGAAAGGAATCAGGAAGTAGGAAAGACTCAGGACAGGTGAGTGGTACAACACTGGGCCAACCTCTACTAATAAGAACAAAGGGCAAGGAGTTTCCCAGGAAGAATGTCTGCATGGCTTTCACTGAGGGAGGGTCACCTTGAACAGCTGGCAGGCCGCAGCTGCAGCCTGCCGCTCAGCATCGATCTTCTTGCTGCCATAGCCTTCTACCTCCACGCTCTTGGGCCACTTTATGTGCAGTGTGACTTTCTGAGAAAGAGAAGAGAGAAATCAGAACTCTTGCCACTCCAGACTACAAAGTTGTTGCAAATTACACGGAGAATAAACAGTGGTGGACCTCACAGCAGCAGACCTCACAGCAGCAATGTGCTAGGTTCAGAGTTGAGAAGAGAGGACAGAACCCCAATCCCATCATTAACTCCTTATAAGACTCTTAACTGTCTCACTGTGAAACCATTTGTTCTACCCCAAGTTGTTTTGTTTCTTCGAGGTGCCATGTTCTAGCTAGAGGCCAAGCTGGAATCTTCATCTTTTTTTTTTTTTTTTTTTTGAGATGGAGTCTTGCACTGTCACCCAGGCTGGAGTGCAGTGGCACGATATCAGCTCACTGCAAGCTCCGCCTTCCGGGTTCACGCCATTCTCCTGCCTCAGCCTCCTAAGTAGCTGGGACTACAGGTGCCCGCCACCACACCCGGCTACTTTTTTGTACTTTTAGTAGAGATAGGGTTTCATCATGTTAGCCAGGATGGTCTCGATCTCCTAACCTCATGATCCGCCCACCTTGGCCTCCCAAAGTGCTGGGATTACAGGCGTGAGCCACCATGCCCGGCCTCACATTTTTGTTTCTTTGTGGGGGACAGGATTTCACTCTGTTGCCCAGGCTGGAGTGCAGTGGTGCAATCACAGCTCACTGCAGCCTCAACCTCCTGTGCTCAAGCAATCCTCTCATCTCAGCTTCCCTAGTAGCTGGGACTACAGGCCTGCACCACAACGTCTGGGTAACATTTTCATTTTTTGTAGAAATGGGGTCTATGTTGCCCAGGCTGGTCCCAAATCCCTGGGCTCAAAGGATCCTCCCTACTCTGCCTCCTAAAGTGCTGGGATTACAGGCATGAATCACCACAACCAGGCCCCATCTTTATTTATTCATTTTTTTTTTTTTTTTTTTTTTTGAGACGGAGTCTCGCTGTGTCTCCCAGACTGGAGTGCAGTGGCATGATCTCGGCTCACTGCAACCTCCACCTCCCAGGTTCACGCCATTCTCCTGCCTCAGCCTCCCGAGTAGCTGGGACTACAGGCGCCCGCCACCACGCCCGGCTAATTTTTTGTATTTTTAGTAGAGATGGAGTTTCACCATGTTAGCCAGGATGGTCTCGATCTCCTGACCTCGTGATCCACCCGCCTCGGCCTCCCAAAGTGCTGGGATTACAGGCGTGAGCCACCACGCCCAGCCTCATCTTTATCTTTAAAAATCATCCAGGCTGAGAGCAGTGGTGGCTCCCAGCATTTTGGGAGGCTGAGGAAGGAGGATCCCTTGAACCAAGGCGTTTGAGACCACCCTGAGCAACATAACAAGAACCTATCTCTACAAAAAATACAAAAAATTAGTTGAGTGTGGTGGCACCTGTCTTTAGTCCCAGCTACTTTGGAGGCTGAAGCGGGAAGATCACTTGATCCCAGGAGTTTGAGGTTACTGTGAGTTATGATTGCACCACCGCACTCTAGCCTGGCTAACAGAGAGACTCTTACTCTGTCTCTACAAAAATAAATAAATGTTAACAAATCATCCAGAATGGGTTGCCGGCATGCTTCTATGGTTCCAGAATCTATAAGACTCTAAGGGCAAGAATTCTCATCGTCAACTCTAATCCTCTGCAGTCCTTAGTCAATGGGGAACAAAAACCAAGGATCCGTGTGGGGCCGTCTTAGATAAGATGGCACCTCACTTGCCTGTGTTCCCCTTCGCTAAACCAGGCATGCGTATTCTGGCTCTTCTTCAAACCTAGCTTTGCTCTGAGTCTCTGCTAACCATTTTAATTCAAGAAACCCATTCTATGGCCTCCTTGACAAGGAAACCTAAGAGAGAAAGGACAAACAGCCTCCTTTCTGAGTCATACTAATGTTTTTCCTTGCCACCAGCAATTACCTTTTTCTTCGGTCCATTTGTGTGCACGTAGACTAGTTTGTCTTTTGCATGTGAGATGCCGAGGGCTCTTCCGATCACACTGTTGAGAAGATTTTTGGGCTGTGGGAATTCTTTTAATAGGTCCCTAGAAGCTAAGAAAATAAGAACAAAAGCATTACAGTTGTTCTTTTTCTTTTAAAAACTCCATGGGGTGTGTATCAGGGCAACCCTGGGCTAGATTCTGAGGATGTTGTCTCATGACCCCAACCACCCAGGAGCATCTTGGAAAAGAAAAGAGGAATGACTTCAGGGTTTACCCACTTGAATAACCATCTCCTGAAGAAGGGCCAATGACCCAAACACCACAGAAGGGAAGCTACCAGCATCCTCTCCCCGCCCAACCTCCTTATTTCATACATCACGTACAAAAGCCTGCTTGGTCAATAAACCCCCCTAGTCTGATGTCTGAAAGAAGACACTAAACAAACAAGCAAGCAAAAAATACAAAAACAAAAATCCACCACACACACAAACTGGAGATCAAGACAATGCAAGGCTCTTCCTAAAATAAGACACACACAAGAGAGACCTGGCCCCATGTATCTCAAGTGATGAGATCCGGATGCTGAATACCAGGCCCCAGCCCTCAACCGTATCTAAGCACACTGCAAAAGGCTCCCACAGAACCAAACTATGTGTGGGGACTGATTAAAGACCTCTACATCTGGCTGGGCGTGGTGGCTCACACCTGTAATCCCAACACTTTGGGAGGCCAAGGCACACAGATCACGAGGTCGGGAGTTCGAGACCAGCAGCCTGGCCAACATAGTGAAACCTCATGAAACCTTGTCTCTACTAAAATACAAAAAAATTAGCCAGGCCTGGTGGCAGGTGCCTGTAGTCCCAGCTACTTGGGAGGCTGAAGCAAGAGAATCGCTTGAACCCGGGAGGCGGAGGTTGTGGTGAGGCAAGATCACACCACTGCACTCCAGCCCAGGCAACAAGAGTGAAACTCCATCTCAAAAAAAGAAAAAAGAAAACATCTATATCTGAGCAGGCATGAACTATTCCTCCCCCAAGTTCTCTGGAGTCAAGGGGAAAATTGATGCATCAGATACCATCAGAGGTACCTCGCTTCTTTTCACTTGTTTTTTGGATTAATCCCAGAGCAGAAAGGGAAGAGATATCTACCTAGAGTAAGCTTGTACCAGACACAAGGCTTAACCAGGTCATGAAGAGGTCTGCTAGGAATATGGGGGGACCATATCATTCTCCACTGTAGCCTCAGGCAGCTCCAAAAGGAGATGTAGATATGCACATGTGCACCTGAGTGTACACTGATCACCTGGGGAGCTTTTTCACTGCATGGGCATCCAGCTCCCCACAGGGGACCGGAGAATGGGAGCGATGTTGGAGGCGGCTCTACATTTTGAAAAAGTGCCGGCCGGGCGCGGTGGCTCAAGCCTGTAATCCCAGCACTTTGGGAGGCCGAGACGGGCGGATCACGAGGTCAGGAGATCGAGACCATCCTGGCTAACCCGGTGAAACCCCGTCTCTACTAAAAAAATACAAAAAACTAGCCGGGCGAGGTGGCGGGCGCCTGTAGTCCCAGCTACTTGGGAGGCTGAGGCAGGAGAATGGCGTGAACCCGGGAGGCGGAGCTTGCAGTGAGCTGAGATCCGGCCACTGCACTCCAGCCTGGGCGGCAGAGCGAGACTCCGTCTCAAAAAAAAAAAAAAAAAATTAAAGAAAAAGTGCCTCCAAGCATTCTGATGTAACTCTGCTGCCTGGTTTGAGATTATTTCCTTGGGACAGACTCTTGTGTCAAGTGGCCAGGATGGAGGACACCTGATCCTGTCTCCCTCTAAGCGGTAACTTGTAAAGCAACTAAGAGTCAAGCAGTTAAGAAACCACATGTGCCGGGCGCGGTGGCTCTAGCCTGTAATCCCAGCACTTTGGGAGGCTGAGACGGGCGGATCACGAGGTCAGGAGATCGAGACCATCCTGGCTAATATGGTGAAACCCCGTCTCTACTAAAAAAATACAAAAAACTAGCCGGGCGAGGTGGCGGACGCCTGTAGTCCCAGCTACTCGGGAGGCTGAGGCAGGAGAATGGCGGGAACCTGGGAGGCGGAGCTTGCAGTGAGCTGAGATCCGGCCGCTGCACTCCAGCCTGGGCGACAGAGCGAGACTCCGTCTCAAAAAAAAAAAAAAAGAAAGAAACCACATGTAAGTGGATTTGGGCGGGGCGGGGATGGGGGGGTTGGTCACAGAGGGGCCCAACTTGGAGTAGCCCACTACACCCACTGGTTTAACAAGAGAGTTGCACTGAGACCCCCATCCCCCCACGCCCACTTCAGCTCTATAAGGTTGGTGAAGGCTGGCGCTCTCTACCTATCCTTGATGCTTTCAACAGTTTTATTCTCTGCACTATTTGGGAGGCACAAAGCTGGAATCCACCAGAGCAGTCGTTCTGTCTCTATTTGAGATCCTGATGTCCCAGGAGTTATTTTGGGCTATTTCTCACACTGGCGAGGGCATGCTTGTCCCTAGAAGCTCTAGCCCTTGGCCACTCATCCTGGCAGGAGTTGGACTTTACTCGTTTTCCCCACTCCCTCGAGGTCTCGAACCTCTCACCTATTCTTGCTGGGAGCAGGCACTCTAAGGGTCCATTCGGGCCTGTGCCACGCTAAGCTTTACAAACAGCAGGGCCGCTGCGCGCCGACGGATGGCGAACTTGGCCACTATGGAAGACAGGACCCCCGGCCGCCAGGCCCGATTTCGGCCCACGTCCCTAGCTCTGCCATCCCAGGAGTCAAGGGCGCTGCGGACCGCCCGCCCCCGCCGATGCCCTCACCGTTCACAATGCTTCCGTCGCCTTCCCCAGGCCCGCCGGGGGCCATCCCTGACTCGGCCTCGGCGGCCTCCTTGGTGCGGTCGGGGTGGGCGCAGCCTGATGAGAAGCCGCGCGAGCGACCCTGTCGCCCAGCAGCGCGGGGACCCAGCGGCCGCAGGCGCGGAGAGACGCCGGCGGCCAGCGCCATGAGTCTCCTGGCGGCCGCCATCGTGTTCCCGCCGACCCCGTGGCCTACGCGCGGCAGGGACCGGGCGAAGAGAACGGGAGCGGCCGGTCCGAGCGCCGCGCGCCCCCTGCGGGCCGGGCGGACCCGAGGCCCGAGCCCAGGTGAGGGCATCGGCAGCCCGCCCTCGCTCACCACAGCCCTGGGCCTTCAGTAGGCGGCTCGGCGCGGCCCAGGGCTAGGACCCTGCCAAGCTCACTCTCCAGCAAATCCAAACCAGCTGTCATGTGGATGGGAGGCAGGAAGATGGAATGGGGCTTTTGGGGGGAAAATAATGCTAATCCTTACCTCAATGTCATCTAAGGAAGTTTCAGTTAGTTCCCTCTAGGTCCTAGCAATTGTTCCTAATTACCGCTCACGTGCCTCTGGCAAATTGGCAGCCCCATCTTATTTAATGGCTTACAAAGTAAACCTGGTAAAGATCTGGAGCCAGGGCCGGGTGTGGTGGCTCACCCCTGTAATCCCAACCCTTTGGGAGGTTGAGGCGGGTGGATCCCTTGAGCCCAGGATTTTGACCAGCCTGGGCAGCATAGTGAAACCCCAACTCTATTAAAAGTTTGAAAAATGAAAAAGAAGATCTGGAGCCAGGCCAAGGAAGACCTCTTCAACATAAGCAGAAACATTTAATCCCCAGGGCTGGAGGGGAAGGCAAAAATACCCAATTTTGGACACTGCCAAGAATTGAGTTGGTCCAGGGTAAAGTCCAGCAGTCAAAGTACTGTTCCTCACCAGGCGCAGTAGCTCACGCCTGTAATCCCAGCACTTTGGGAGACCGAGGTGGGCAGATCATGAGATCAGGAGATCAATACCAGCCTGACCAACATGGTGAAACCCCATCTCTACTAAAAATACAAAATTAGCTGGGCATGGTGGCGCATGCCTGTAGTCCAGGCTACTCGGGAGGCTGAGGCAGGAGAATCGCTTGAACCCGGAAGGTGGAGGTTGTAGTGAGCCAAGAGCAAGCCATTGCACTCCAGCCTGGGCAACAAAAATGAAACCCCTTCCCAAAAAAAAAAAAAAAAAAGGCCAAACACAGTGGCTCACACCTGTAATCCCAGCACTTTGGGAGGCTGAGGTAGGAGGATCACGAGGTCAGGAGATTGAGACCATCCTGGCTAACACGATGAAACCCCATCTCCATTAAAAATACAAAAAAATTAGCCAGGCATGGTGGCGGGCACCTGTAGTCCCAGCTACTCAGGAGGCTGAGGCAGGAGAATGGTGTGAACCTAGGAGGTGGAGCTTGCAGTGATCACGCCACTGCACTCCAGCCTGGGCGACAGAGCGAGACTCTGTCTCAAAAAAAAAAAAAAAAAAAAAGTACTGGTCCTCACTTGCTGGAAAGCCAAATAGGATTTCATTTCCAAAATATTCTGCCTGGATCTTAGCCAGGTTCATTCCTCTTCTGCCTCCTATGGCCGTGAAGAGCAAGGCTTTGGGTCAACTGGGAATCAGACTGAATCTGCATGTTGTGGGTAGTGACGGTGCAGAGCCAGGGCCTCAAGGTCTCTGTCCCTTACAGGGGTCCTTGGACAGAGGTTGGCAGTGTAGCTGGAGGTAAGTTGAGAGGGAGGGATGTGTTGGTTTTACAAGTCCAGGTCTGAGTCCGATGAGCTCTGGGAGAGCTTGTTAAAACAGGCTGCTGGGAGCCACCCTCAGTTTCTTTTTTCTTTTTTTTTTTTTTGAGACGGAGTCTCGCTCTGTTGCCCAGGCTGGAGTGTGCAGTGGCCGGATCTCAGCTCACTGCAAGCTCCGCCTCCCGGGTTCGCGCCATTCTCCTGCCTCAGCCTCCCGAGTAGCTGGGACTACAGGCGCCTGCCACCTCGCCTGGCTAGTTTTTTGTATTTTTTAGTAGAGACGGGGTTTCACCGTTTTAGCCAGGATGGTCTTGATCTCCTGACCTCGTGATCTGCCCATCTCGGCCTCCCAAAGTGCTGGGATTACAGGCTTGAGCCACCGCGCCCGGCCTACCCTCAGTTTCTTATTCATTAGGTCTGGAGTAGGGCCCAGGAATCTGCTTTTTTTTTTTTCCTGGTGAGATGGAGTCTAGCTCTTGTTGCCCAAGCTGGAGTGCAATGGCGCAATTTTTGCTCACTGCAACCTCTGCCTCCCGGGTTCAAGCGGTTCTCCTGCCTCAGCCTTCCGAGTAGGTGGGATTACAGGCTATTTTTAGTAGAGACAGGGTTTCACCATGTTGGCCACACTGGTCTCAAACTCCTGGCCTCAAGTGATCTGCCCGCCTAGACCTCCCAAAGTGCTGGGATTACAAGCATGAGTCACGGCGATGGGCCGAGAATCTGTATTTTTTTTTTTTAACATAGTCTTCCTCTTATTGCCAGGCTGGAATGCAATGGCGCAATCTCAGCTCACCGCAACCTCCACCTCCCAGGTTCAAGCGATTCTCCTGCCTCAGCCTCCCAAGTCGCTGGGATTACAGGCATGTGCCACCATGCCTGGCTAATTTTGCATTTTCAGTAGAGACAGGGTTTCTCCATGTTGATGAGGCTGGTCTTGAACTCCCGACCTCAGGTGATCCGCCTGTCTCGGCCTCCCAAAGTGCTGGGATTATAGGTGTGGGTCACCACACCCAGCCGAATCTGCATTTTTAACAAGTTCCCAAGTGGTGCTAAAGCTGCTGGTCTGGCACTGCACTCTAAGAATTGCTGGCCTGCTGGCCGGCTGGCCGGGTGCAGTGGCTCACACCTGTAATCCCAGCACTTTGGGAGGCGGAGGCAGGCAGATCACCTGAGGTCAGGAGTTCGAGACCAGCCTGGCCAACATGGTGAAACCCCATCTCTACTAAAAATACAAAAATTAGCCAGGCATGGTGTTGGGCACCTATAATCCCAGCTACTCAGGAGGCTGAGGCAGGAGAATTGCTTGAACCTGGGAGGCGGAGGTTGCAATCAGCTGAGATTGCGCCGCTGCACTCCAGCCTGGGTGACAACAGTGAGACTTCATCTCAAAAAAAAAAAAAAAAGAGAGAGAACTGCTGCCCATGAAAAGAACATGGAATTTGAGTCCTAATACTTGGGCTTAGCCTAAATTATATGACTTGCCAGCTGAAAAACCTGGGCAATTTCATCAACTGAGAAAATTAGAACAAACTTGCTCTACTCATTCTGTGTGGCTGTGGATAGGATCAAATGGGAATATTCAGAAGGCTTTGCACAGTGCTGTGTTGGAGAACCCCCCGCCCTCTGAGGTCTGAAACAACAGGGGAAAGGTCCTTTAGAGACACACCTGGGCAGAGTGGTATAGCTTCAACTCCAGCTTTGCCATTTACTTCTCGGTGGGTTTTCACCAGGAAAGAGGCAAAAGGGAAGGTGGCTTTGGCAGCAATTGTGTGACACTGCAACTGTCACACGTGGACACCACCATCTGTATCAAACACCCCTACCCAGATCATCCATATTGGGAATGAAGAACATGATTCTCCCAGGACTTGGCATTTGGCCAGGTGGCACATCAGTTTGCCAAAAGTCTAGATATCCACGCTGCCTTACAGTAAGTTTCAAGGATTGTTAACAGCCTAAATTCCCTCAAGAGAATCCAGAAGCTTACCTAGCCTGGTAGTGGCTGCAATGGCTAAGGACAAACTTTGAAATGGTATCTGAGGCCAGGCGCAGTGGCTCATGCCTGTAATCGCAGCACTTTGGGAGGCCGAGGCGGGTGGGTCGCGAGGTCAGGAGTTCGAGAACAGCCTGGCCAACATGGTGAAACCCCGTCTCTACTAAAAATACAAAAATTAGCTGGGCATAGTGTTGCGTGCCTGTAATCCCAGCTACTCAGGAGGCTGAGGCAGGAGAATCGCTTGAACCCAGGAGGCGGAGGTTGCAGTGAGCCAAGATCACGCCACTGCACTTCAGCCTAGGTGACAGAGCAAGACTCCATCTCAAAAAAAAAAAAAAAAAAAGAAAAAAAAAGAAAAGAAAATGGTATCTGAAAGCTGAAGGAGACAACAGTCTAGACAGAAAGGCCCAATCTGGACAGCAGGACCCGAGCCCTTTGTGGCACTTGAGGAAGCCCTCAGGATAGCACTCTGTTCTGACAGCCATTTGGTATAAGGTCGAAATGCCATGATTTCTTAGATTTGCTTCCAAACAAGCCAAAATGAAGAGCTATACACAAAGCAACACTGGTCATGAGTTGTTAATTGTTGAAGCTGGGTGACAGGTACTTGCAGATTCATTATACTATTTTTTGTAGTTTACAACACATGTGTTGAACAGATGTTTAGATTTTTATGTTAAAAAAAAATCAGCCAGGCGCAGTGGCTCATGCCTGTAATCCCTGGGAGGCTGAGGCGGGCGGATCACGAGATCAAGAGATTGAGACCATCCTGGCCAACATGGTGAAACCCCACCTCTACTAAAAATACAAAGGTGGCGCGTGCCTGTAGTCCCAGCTACTCGGGAGGCTGAGGCAGGAGTATTGCTTGAACCTGGGAAGCGGAGGTTGCAGTGAGCCAAGATTGTGCCACTGCACTCCAGCCTGGTGACAGAGTGAGACTCTGTCTCAAAAAGAAAAAAAAAAAAAATTCCAGGGATGCCAACCAACTAGTTTGTTCCCAGGGGGTTCTTTGTCCCTGGTTTGGTTGTGTCCCCACCCAAATCTCATCTTGAATTGTAGCTCCCATAATTCCCATGTGTCATGGGAGGGACCTGTTTGGGAGGTCATTGAATCATGGGGGCTGTTTCTCCCATACTCTTCTCATGGTAGTGAGTAAGTCTCACAAGATCTGATGGTTTAATAAGGGGAAACCCTTTTCTTCTTTTTTTCTTTTTTTTTTTTTTTGGAGACAGAGTCTTGCTCTGTTGCCCAGGCTGGAGTGCAGTGGTGTGATCTCAGCTCCCTGCTAGCTCCACCTCCCAGGTTCACGCCATTCTCCTGCCTCAGCCTCCCGAGTAGCTGGGACTACAGGTGCCCGCCACCATGCCCGGCTAATTTTTTGTATTTTTAGTAGAGAAGAGTTTCACTGTGTTAGCCAGGACGGTCTTGATCTCCTGACCTCATGATTCGCCCGCCTCTGCCTCCCAAAGTGCTGGGATTACGGGCGTGAGCTACTATACCTGGCCTTTTTTAATTTTTATTTTTTTGAGACAGAGTCTTGTTCTGTCACCCAGGCT